CCCCCAAACATTTCTGCAATTTAGTTCAATGTATACAGTGCCGATATGTTTTATGTTCTAGGGTATAGAACAATACAGAGAAATCAGATGACCCTGTATGAGCAAGCATTTGGCGACAGTGGGAACAAAAACCTCCATTTCAACAGGAAGAAATCTCCAGCAGAACCAGGCTCATGGAGGGGCAGCCATTCACCTTGACCAGATGGGGGTGAGAAGCACTTTCTATACCAGGGGTGGGCAACTCCAGGTCTCACGGCCCGGTGTCCTGCAGGGTCCTTGATCCAACACAGCTGATTCAAATGGCTAAATGACCTCCTCAACATGTCTTGAAGTTCTCCAGAGGCCTAGTAATGAACTAATCATGTGATTTAGGTCTGTAGACCCAGGGTGAGATCTAAAACCTGCAGGACTGAGGAATGTGCTATTAGTGCATGGGAAGCCATATATGACAAATAGTTGCATTGAAATATTCCAAAATGCATCAAACACAAACAAGATGTAACTGAAACTAGGGTAGGTAAAGCAAATGGCACCCACCTGTAGCTGAAAGTGACTATTTATGTAGTAATGCACAGATTTAGGCCTTTCTAATGTTCAAATGGCTTATTTATTAAAAACTAAACAAAACAAAAGTCAAACACACAATCAGAAAGCATTTTATCACGGGTACCTACGTGAAATGATGTTTTTGGCACTTTGTTTGTCAGCCCTGGAGCTTTTGTCTTGATGGATAACATCATTTAAGAGCAGAACTGAGTCACTGTAGTTGCACCTTCCATCTCAGTTTTCCACATTCACTTAAAGCCACTGGAAAATCACACAACGTATTTTCTTCTCTTCCGTCACATTAAAGCTTTATGACTTGCATTACATATATGTGGCTTTCCACTACTTTGCTGTTCTCTTGAAATAAATGTACACCATTACCGACACTCTAATCATCTTACAGGAGTCCTAAATCTTTATCAGCATATATAGTATATTGGGCTTAAAAATTCACAGCAAGCTCACAGGAAAGAGCATCAAGATAAAGCTCTGAAATCCCAAACCGTCAAGCTCTCTTAATCCTCCCACCTGTATTTTCCATAGCCGTCAGTGAACAGCAGCCCTCCATATCGCCTGAGAAGGGGATTTAGTTGTAATGCTCTCGGAAATACAATGCATAAAATCAATTGTCAACTCTAACAAGCTGTTCTTAGGGTGGATGGACGGCCCTCTGGATCTGACAGGGTCTGGGCTCGGGCTTTGAAAGGTTAGCGGCTGTGCAGCGCTGCAGCATTTGATCCCACAGTTACCCGAATTTCAGAGACAACTGTGCAAATCTGGATAACCTGGGAAGCCAGACGGGCTTTCGGGGGGCAACAGCTGCTTAAGTCCATTCGCTGCCTGCCAGAGAAACTTTATCAGGGGAAGTGGAGGTTGAAATTTTATGGCAGCTAAGCCCCCTCCATCAAATTGTGAAAACAGAACCTTGTGGCACAGATCAGGATGGATTTAGGAGTTTGCTTGCTGTTTTCTTGGCTGCAAGCGCTAATATAAAAATAGAAGAATGCAAAGACCTTCGGATGCCGCTGTCCTCATGTGCCACTTTTATTCCAAGCACGACGTTAGTTTCCATCTGAAATACAATAGTAAATTGCAGGCAGACGCCGCTACAGTGGAAGGACGTGAATTTCTCCAGCGTTCAGTCAGAAAATTACCACCAAAATTCACTTCTCCTCTACGGCGCTTCATGTTTCTGTTTTGTAACGCATTTGTGAATTTCTTTCCTGCTAAAATGAAGAATATGTGCAGCATCTAAGCTTCTTTAAACACACGACATCTTTTGGGTAAATCGGCTGCTTTATTCTCCTCTCAGATGTC